AACGATCTACTTTGGTGTAATAGTGTAATTAACTTAACAAGTAATTGACAGTGTTGTATACATACATAATAGCATCAATTACCAGACCCGGCTTCTAATTTAAAAGAGTATCCTGTATTTAGCTTTTTATTGGGTTAGCAATCATGTAAGTCAATGTTGTATATTTTCAAAGAATTCCGTAATTCGTAACCGCTCTTTGTTGAAAATATCTAAAATAATGATAAACCTGTTAATAAATATATTTACCTACTTAGTGTATAAAGCCAGTAATAATAAAATTCTACGTATTGTGATTTTTTAATGTTATATTTGATTCATGTTTTTGAACTTTAAAATTAGGATATGTTTACTGTTTTTTTTTGCTACGATTACAGTCACATTGTACTTCGTTCGATACAGGGGTGAAACCCAGAATTTTGTATTTTGGAGCTAAAAGCTCTTCAACAAATATGTTAAGGAAGAGAAGGTAGCAGTTATCTTACCCTTTCTATATTATGCGTTCTTTGTACTATAATTTTATTGAAAATTCTTTTATAGTTTAGGTGTAGATATCCTATAAAAGTCATAAAAGTTACAATAGTTGTCATAGAGAATTTANGTTTGAAGATTACTTTCTAAAAATTTGTTAAATTTTTCGGATAAAAATTAAAAGAATTTAAATGAAACACGTATTTTTTTTGCAACAATAATAATTAATGAATGAACCTATAGAGTGTACGGTTTTTCTTTTTATTTTTGTTAAAGATTTTTTCCTTCCTTAAATAGTTACTAGATTGTGAAACTGTGTGTTCCTAGTTCTAATAATAATGTTTTATGGTTCATAGTTTTATTAGATCTGTACTATTAATAACAAAGTATGTCGCTTAATCAGTAAAGATTAGATTAAAGGCAAATATTTAGGGGTTTATGTAATACGTATAATTTTATCATAAACTTTCCTTCATTAATAGAAGACATGCATTTAAAAATGTACCTACATTACGTTAAAAATTGGTTCTATTGCTAATTGTATGTGAAGATACCAAACAAAGAAATGTAGGTAATATAATTGCGTAATTGTTCTTTTATTGATTATTATCAATTAGATTTCCAAAAGCTCATGCGCGTGATGTTTTTAATCCGATCGTATTATATATTTTGTCTTATAATATTTTTCTTTGAAATCAATTAATATCTTAAATGTTATCTAGGATTAGGAACAAAAAATATGATATCAGATATTAAACTGATTAGGTCTAACGTCAGCAGTTGTGGATATTTGGATTACGCTAAAATAAATTTGGTTCGTTTAATGAAAGTTTGCATGCATGGCTCAAGGTGGCACGAAGACATTTTTTCGACATTCCATTATGTACGTTCGGTTCTATTTACGTTTTGTTTATATATGTACGTAATACTTTTACTCTACTTTTCACTAGCACCTTTTTTGAACGTCGAAAACACTTCCGGTTTGTTTATTGTTAACCATTCAGGTATGAATTAATTTAATAATTATATGGTAGGTGGTATTTTGACAATGTTAAATGGGACAAGATGTTAAATATATTTAAAAATGTAGGGATGAGTTACAAAGATAGAAGAGTGAAGAAGATAGAAGATAGATACTTAGTTTGTATAAAGAGCAACAGGCAGTTATAGAGCTAGGGATGCAACGTAGAGAAGTAAATATTAGGAAGGGAGTCCGACAGGGATGCACACTGTCACCGCTACTTTTTAATCTATACATCGAAGACGCCATCAACATCATTAAAGACAGTACAACTGTAGGGATAGATGTGCAAGGGCAAAAGATTAGTATGCTTAGATCTGCAGATGATATAGCAGTATTAGCATCTAGCAAGGAGGACCTAGAGATAGCTTTAAATAAAATGGAAGCGGTACTGACAGATCAGTACTGTATGAAAATAAATAAAAGTAAAACTAAAATACCGGTATGCAAGGGAAGAAAAAATAGGGAAAGAGCGAATATAAACATAGGAGACGAAGAATTAGAAGAAGTGGCTGATTTTAGATACCTAGGAAGTCAGATAAGTCAGGATGGAAGGAGTAGTAGGGATATAAAGCAGAGGATAGCGCAGGGTCGTGTCGCCTTTAATAAAAAGAAGTCACTTCTATACTCGCGAACGGTTAGTTTAGAAATTCGAAAAAGGTTGTTAAAGGTGTATGTTTGGAGCACGGCATTGTACGGGTGCGAAACATGGACAGTGAGAGTGGCGGAAAAGAAAAGGTTAGAAGCATTCGAAATGTGGTGTTAGAGGCGAATGATGAGAATACCGTGAATAGAAAAGGTTAGAAACGAAGATGTATTGGAAAGAATAGGAGAACAGAGGACTCTATGGAAGTCAATAAAAAATAGGCGAGATAGGTTGGTAGGACACCTTCACAGGCATGAAGGTCTAGTCAGAGACATATTAGAGGCAGAAACAGGAGTTAGGAGGGGTAGAGGTAGACCTAGATTAGATTACTGTTCGCAAATAGCTAAGGATGTGAGCTGTTCTAGTCTTAGGGAAATGCGAAAGAGTGGAGGTACGTGTCCAACCAGTCTTAGGACTGACGACCTTATGATAATGATGAGGTGGTATTAACAATTGGAGACCTCCCATATAACAAGAATTTAATTGTATCATATTATTGTGTTCTAAAAAGCGTTTTTTAAAATATTTCTCAGTTTGTCCAATGTATAGTTTAAGGAAAGGTATTTTTGTTTTTTATTAGGCAGACTTACATTATGTTAGAATTCTTTGACGGACACTCTGTATATATTCAAAGAACAAGTGTCGTACTTATTGTAGTTTATTATAAGCCGTATTACATTAGTTTTTTTACAATAGTAGAAATGAACTGTCATGGTCTGCGTGAGCTTCAAAAGCATTGTTTGGCAAAAGTGATTCGGCGATTTTGTTGCTCGACCAACGAAACGAAATAAAAAAAAAACGTGAAAAATGTCACGGTGTGGATTATAGCGAGACAATTCTACTTCCGTCCGTTTGTCACCAATGAATCTTGCCGCGAATTTCTATTAAATACCCTTTCCTGTTAGATACACTTTACGGAAAACTTATCTACTATTTGCATTGGAAAATTGAAATTTTACACCTGTCAAAAATACTACAACACGAAATTAATTATACAGAAAAAATGATACATATGTATCTGCAGGTATTGATATTGTTTGCTCATTTGTAATCAGAAGGTTCTTCATGGTGGTTTTGGTTATTCCCAAATTTCTCTGCCATTATTGGAGTAAAAGATTATATATGTAGTTAATGTCAATTTTATATGGTATACAGTGTTTAGAAATCTTATTTGTAGATTTTATGTGTTCTTCTAATCGTGTTTTTAATGATCGACCTGTATGACCAATATAAAAACAATTACAATTTTTGCAAGTTGACTGACATACCTAAATATGCCTATTTTCTTTATTATTTACTAATAGTAATTTGTAATAGTTTTTGTTAATAAATCGTAAATCGAATTAACCATTTCAAATGTCGTAAATATTAATAAAACGCCTTGTACATTTCGAGTTAAATTTATTACACGATAAAAACGTTTATATAACACAATCATCGATGTTCACACATGTGTTTTTCAACGAGTTAATTTGTCAGAATTGTATATGAATAAATTATCGGTTGATTTGCGGATATCCTTTCCGTAGAAACTTCCGGTTATAACACGTAACATAAAGGGCCATGAGTGGAAAACAAGTGAATACACTAATGGTTGTCTTTTTTTTGTTCAATACAAAACAAAACTGTTTTTTCATTTTTTTTAACTAGTTGTATCATTAAACGTAATAACAAAGTAATAATAATGATATGAAACTACCTTGAGTATAAAAATATTTTTAGGTAAAATTCTTTAGTTATTACAGCTTGTCAACTCTGTTTACACTTTGTGACGCTTATCATTATGTCTGAATAAAGATACTTATCAAAGCGAAGAAAATACACACGAAAAACGGCTGATAAAGAGCTCTCATTTTCTGCCTCTTCTATCTTTTATACGGCTCTAGTTAATTTACGAATTGCAGCAACGATTTAGCAAATGTAAATCTTGTGGTTAAGATAAAAACATAACGCAAGGGAAAAAGGAAAATAGAAAATTAGAATACAATTACGTACAGGTCTATAAAAGTAACTGATTTGTGCATCTTTTATTGTTGTCTTTTTTATGTAGAATTATAAGCAAAAACTGTTGCTAGAATCGGTTCAAATCGTTGGAAATGGAAAAATAATTAATAAAATTCATGGATTACATTTATTTATAAAGAAAGAGCAGCTTGTCAGATACATAAATATTAGTTTAAATAACTATTAATTGATGAATATAATAAATTAGAAGTAAATCCAAAGGTAGAAATGACTGTGATTACAGCATGAATGAAGCCTTAACATAATGATAGCTTTGCTTTATATGTAGTTACAAAAATTTAATGAAGTTATTTGAATGTGAAATAGTATAATAATTTACATGACGGACAGTGCAATTGTCTTGGAAAAATTCCCTGATTCAATCTGTAAATAAATTCCATATAGATACAGGTTGTTTAGGTATATATTATTATTTAGCTTTATTTTTTAATTATTGATAATAAATACAATTATTACAGCTAATAAACAATTAAAAACATTAGTCTAGTAGAAAAAGCTAGAAGCGTTTGAATCTGGCTTTATGGAAGGGTGTTATAAATACCTTGATTAGAAAAGGTAAGAAATGAGGAAATGTTAGAAATTAATAAGAAATAGGCGAGATTCTCAGACATGAAGGGATAGTTGGCGACATAGTAGTAGCAGAAACAGGACTTGAGAGAGGTTGAGATAGATCCAGACTAGATTACTCCTGTAACAAAATCTTTTCGGTCATTCTGAAGGTCAGGGTCGTTTTAATATCGTTTAGTTGTACAGGCGACAGTGCAATTCTCTTGAGTGACAAGTAACTAAGTGCATTTGGTCCAATCCCGTTGCGGATTTCCTTCTTCAGTCCGCGAGTCTTATTGTAATTTAAACGCGTCGCAGTCCGTGCGTACATCGGGCGGGCGCAAGCCCACTTGACATCGAGGGTGGAAAAATATTTCCTGAATTGTGTACGCAGTCTTTATCATCGAAGTAAGTTCGCGACCGATCGTTGTCGGTTATGGGCGCTTTTCCGACAATATATCGTCGGCAATTTGAAAGCTCCACCGGCGCGACGGACGAAGAAGCACGTGGCCTGTCTCATAGAAATTGTGCATGTACGATAATCGTAACGCAAGTGCAGCAGAATTCACCACCCCGTCTATTTTCGTCCTTATTAACCCCGTACATACGTCCACGTAAAATACAATGTGCAGCAGAAGCTGTTCAGTCCCCAGATCAATATCTGCAGGCAGCATGAACACTGTCAAGAGTCCTAGGTATGTCCTGCTTTATAGACCTAGACCCATAATACTTAACATGTCTCATCTGTTCTGCAATGATAATTATTTATTAATTCATTAATGCGCTTCAAAGCTCGCGTCAGTTGTTGTTTACTTCTGTCCTAGGCTAAAATTGTGTACAATTTCGAATGGTGTTATGTACTTGAATCCATAAAAACGTTAAAACTGCTTTGTTTTACTTTTTTTTATGCTGCCATAAATTTAACGTGATAGTAAACTCATTACAATTAAGTGTAATCAGTAATTAATTTTTCTTGGTCTGTTTAAAATTTTACTGGCCTGTTTATCAACATTGTGTTTGCTTTTACGTAGAAATACTACAGTTGGAATAGATTTTGACTACAAGGGGTTTAAATTAATTATTTATTATTACTTCCCAAGGTCATAGAACTTACAGGAATATTATTAAATAACAATGTTACGAATAAACGTTCTCTACATCCTGTTAGATATAAATACATATGTTAAACAACAAGGAATTTTTTGAATGGCAAAGTTAGATAAAATACTAATTTGAATAATTTTTACGTCAGACATTTTTGTTGTTATCGCATTGTAATGTTTTAACTGAATGCATTTAAGTGCTAAGTCTTAAAAAGTTATTGCAAAAGTTTCCTGTGGTCTAGGGTTTTTTTTTACTTTTCTACTTAGTTTGCCATGATCTTAAATACCTCAGATACCAAGTACGTTATTATTTGGAATCGCTTAAAGAAAAGCGGATAATTCGTGGATCTGCTTCAAAATCCATTTTCAGTGCCGCCCAGAATGATTAAGAAATGCATCTGCAGTCGCATAGAGATCGATGTTAGGCCTGCAGTGAATTATAAAACTGTTTGCTTAAACTTTGTTGTTGTTAAACTATTGATTTGCTACGGCATAAAATTCTTGGCGAAATAATAAAATTTAGATTTGGAAAAAGAATAATGTTTATCTGTACCTACTTAATGGAATTCTGATAGGAGATATATTTCAACAAGGAGTCGTAACCTTTGCTTTGAAGGGGTTGTTGTCCTTAAAAAGGGCAATATCTATTCCTTGCCAAAAGTTTTATCGCAAAATTTATTGTCTAGCGACGAAGTAGGGCAGGCCAATTTATTTCATTTCCTCTCTGTGAAAAACGAAAACGAGATGAGATCTACAAACGTTAAAAAGTTTTATTGTTTTAATGTCAATTAAAGAAACGTACTTCTTTGATAAATAAATTTTGCCATTTCAAAATATTGTGAACAGATAAACATTATTCTTGAATCAAAGTAATTTCGTTCTTACCGGGTGTCCCAAGCAGTGTAAATTATAATATAAATTGTAGTTATTTAAGCTTAATTTACCAATTCAAGTTACCTATAAATTACGTCAGTTCGTACATCTGATTCCATGACACCACACAGATTGTTTATAAAGGGTAGATTTTTCCAAAAAAACCCACAAAAATATTTTTTCCGTACAAATATTTTGATCCAATCTTACTGTGGTTTTTGATGTAGTTGTCGATCAAACAGTTTCTCTTTAAGTTTTTGTTTCATTGCTTCTTATTGTAATCGTATTTTTTATATTTTGAATTAGGGAATTACAACTTGTTTGTTTTGATTGTTATTAGGACTTCACTGCTAAAGAAGCCCGAAATAGCTTGACGTGATAATACGTCCTTCACACACATCCTTGATCCTTGTTAGTTAAATCGATTTTCGTTGGACTGTTTTTGTTTTATTACACGGTTGCTTTCGTTAAAAGCTAATTTAAATTACTTTAATGAAGTACAAATTTGTTGTTGATGCTGAAAATTAAATTATTTATGAGTTTTAAATGCAATAAAAACAAAAGGAAATAGATTGTATTTTTTATAACTTATATATCTACATGAACGAATATTTTCAGATAGCCGTGATTGAAAAAATATATTATACACATTCGTTAAGTTGTAACAATAAAAAGAAAAAATGACGACAAAAAATGTAAATTTTTTGTTTGGTGAATGCTTTGACTTTACCTGCATATAGATATCCCAGCGAACGGTTCTTCATTAGAAGAAGTAAAATTGGTTGATTTACATTTTTTCCTAAATTTCTTTTATTTGGCGTTTTAATTAAAATTTTTCATTTATCATTTACTTTGTATGCATTGGAATGCATTGTGACTAAACAACAATTACTCGTTTATATCGTTTTCTGAGTCGTAATATCCAACGTTTGCATTGTGTTGCATGCTACACGCAATGTGAAATTAAATTACTTCTTATGTCAGCATTTTTTCTATGCATATGATGCGTTAAATTAACGAAATTAAAATAGTAACAAGCTGGCGATCATACTTGGGCTTATTTTAAAAGTAATCAGCTACTTGTTTAAACGAGTATAAAACTAATAACGAAAATAAAAAAATTATAACAGAGGAAAAACTAAATCACAGTAAACACGATTATGTGACCATGGTATAGGGAAATTGGTAGGAAAACCTTCAGCTATCAGTTCGTACAGAAGAACGTAATATTTTCAGATAGACCTGATGGAAAAGGCACATTCACCAAATTACCCATTTTTCGTCTAGTGAGACAAAAAAAAAGAGACATGCAATTTCTATGTTCGGTGAACAATTTTCCTTCCCTTGTATACAGAAATCCCTGCGATTGGTTCTTGAACTTCCTGTACTCTTATTCATTCTACACATTAACTAATTTGTTATCAGAGGAAGAGGTGATACAGCTGTTTTCTCTTGTTTCAATAAACAACATATTCGATATTGTTGTTTGATGAAATTCTACACAGTAGATGAATAAGTGGTAAAGTTAAAAATCATTCTGTTGCCTTTATGACATCATTGTTTAATGGTAGCTACTACATGCTGGTTTCCTAGTTGTACATTAATTATTTATTAATTTTCCGCTAGTGTATCGTTGCGGTTTACGACTTGAATTGAAGATTCACAGATAATTTTAATTGTTATTAGGCTTGGTCTCGTTGATGAAACAGAAACAAACGTATTCCACGCTATTATTGTTATTGTTCTTGTTATGTTAAAAATAAACATGCATTATCATCTTTAAATACAGAAGTAGATACAATATACATATTTGTATGAATACTTTTATCAAATCTTGATGAAATGTAGGACCGAATTCAGAAAAATTCTTCGGGGGTGATGTTACTTAAAATAGTTGTAGAAAGTTTTTTTTTGATAATATTCTTAAGAATAAGAATAACACAACGTTTTCAATAAGCTGTCGTATTTTCCGTGTTACAAAATATTGAAGATTAACTTTCGGAAATGTGTTAGGTAATCAAATAGCCCACGGATGGAGCTACATGTAGCTTCGCGAATGGCTTTTTCAGATACGTTTTCTTAGTTAGATGGTACAATAAAGGGGCCCAAAATGAATTTCGAAAATGGTCTATGGGATTTTTGGGAGTTAATTTTTATTTTGTGGTATTGGTTTTTCACTATTGTTTGGTTTATTTTTAATGTTAGATATCTTTTAAAAGTTAGTTTATATGGGCAGGGTAGGTAGTTCTGGCTAAGGAATTTATTTTAGAGACTTCTGCCAGCTTTACAGATATGATTAGATAACATTATAAATTTCAAACTAAGCAAGTAGCTATTATTTAAAACATAACTGTCAATTTTATATTTATTTTATTATTTTTTGTGATATTGAACGAGAATTTTTTTAATTTGATTTTTTTCACACAAAATTTCTTCCTGAAGTATCCAAGTTCTCTTTTCTCATTTCATCCCCCTCCCCTCCCCACTAGTATCTGCTCCCGATGAAACGGAAATTATCAACTTCCGGTTGGCTCCACCAGACCGTTTAGGTACCTACTTACTGAGCAATTAACAAAATTATTAATTGATATCATGTATTAATAGTTTAATGAAAATCTTTTTAACGTTTGGCATTAATTTTGGTCGCCCATTACTTTAAGATGATTTGGATGCGTTTAATAAGACAAAAGAAATCGTTCTTCGATGATTGCTAATTGGTTTTTAAGTGGTCGATCATTATATTCCCGGTTTAATTGTTTTACTGTGGCAGTATTTCTGTGATGGTTAACACCTTGGAGCAATAATTAATTACATTGTTTAAGCGTGAGAAAATGGGCAGAAATATTTTCTTTTTTTAACTAATAGAACAACGGTTTGTGATAGTTTTAAAGCAAGGCTGTTAATTGGTTTTAATTAAAGGCTGGACAGGTAGTAGAACAGTTTAAAAAAATTAGTCAAATAAGTGTTCGAATTCAATAACAATCTTTAATTAATTGAATAAAATGCAGTACAACAAAAATATTGCTCTATTCATTTTGTATAAATTTACTAGGTTTTACCCATCGTTTCGTTCACGTTAATGTCGTAAATACATGTTAAAGATCATGGGCGACCAAATCAACTTAATTTCTGTATCTCATGAGAACAAAATTTCATGATAGGTTTTACCCTCGGCTTCGCTCGCATTGATGTTCTGAATACCTGTGAAAGATCATTGACGACTTCATAAAGCTAATTTTTCTATCCCTTAGGAATTAATTGTTTTTTTCTGGTTAAAAGATGCCTGATGTCCTTTTCTGTACCCTGACAAAGTGTGTTTAAATTTTCGTGATAGGTTTTACCCGCGGCTTCGCTTGCGCTGATGTCCCAAACATATTATGTCAAAGATTATCGACGATCACATAAAACAAATTTTTCTATCCCTCGGGAACAGCATTTGTTTTTTTTTTTTTTTGATAAAGGGTACCCTATGTCCTTTCGCGTATCTCTGATAATGTGTATTCAAAATTTCATGATGATCGATTGAGTAATTAAAGTGTGAAATGGTAATAAACAAACAAACTTGCATTCGCGTTTATAAAAATAGTTAAGATTAAAAGTTCATTTACGTACGAAAGTTAAAAATAATTTTCAAGATTAATTATTTACTCTAATACCTTCTGAAGGAAGTAGTGTTTGTTTTACATCCAGAAGCTTCGCATTTGATGCCATTATATTCGTGTCCAGTAGATATACTTTCAATTACAAATTGGTGCACGTTAAAGTTGCAATAAATCGATCTGAAAGCAATTCAATTTCAAGGGTACAATTAAGTAACAGTATCCACATTATAGTACCAATAACGCGTACACACGAAAACGTGTTCCACGTGTAATGATGAAGTAGGTTCACGCATGTGATAACAGTAACAAGCGACTGTACCACCATCACGACAAACAACAAAAATAATGCAATTTTATTTGAAAATGAAAAATTTATTCAACTGTTTCCACGAATAAGTTATCGAACAATGGAAAAACAAAAGAAAAATAACGTTAGGTATTAAATTTATTACTTTTTTCCTGCTATAAATAGCTGAACCATGTTCAACAAGTGGTTTTTGTTTTGGACGTGTTAATGAACGGGTTGCTGCAGGTAGATACGATGTTTGTAGTAAAGGTTTTTTGTTTCCTTTTGGCTTTTTGGAGTTACCTCGTACAAGGGTATGTAATTGATGTTAATTATACAATACACTGTTTTATTTTTAAAGATATGAAGGGAAAATTATATGCATATGCATATAAAATTGAAACATTTGCGTGATGTTAAATATTTGATTTTGATTTCTACTTTACGTATCAGGATCAGATTAGGAACGAATATTTAGGTGGCGCCCATATAGATTATATGTTTTGTGACGTTGAAGGATCTGGTCAAACCTTTGGGGGGACCTCGAAATCATCCCTCATTGATTATCTATTCTAAATTATAAGAGAAACGTTAAAATTGAATTAGTTAATTATAAAAGATTCGGTAAATCAAATATACTGTTGTTGTGGTGATGGTTCAGTGAAATAATATTAATTTTGAACATGCGTTTTCTGTTTTAATATCATTTGGGCATTAAAAATGTACCTTCAGGACTACCAACCCTTATCCAGAGGAATATTCTTAAATGGAACTGGTCTATTTAATTGGGCAAAAATGACACAAGTTGAAACACGTGTTTACTCCATGTAACACTTCAAATAATTTTTCACTAACTTTATACTGTAGGTATGCCATTTTCATGAAACATAAGTAAGTAAGAAAAAAAAGTCAGCGCTCAGTAATCGCCAGACGATTTCCGGTGATAACAAAATTCTGTTGCCTGAATCAAATCAATCGAAAAATTATCTATCTCATAATGGGTTTAGGTATATCATTTACCGCGGAGATGATGTCAATTACGGGGTAGACGGGTTGGATTATTGCAATAGCTTTGGTATCGGTTTGAATTTTCCAGCGATTCGACGATCTTGTCTGCTGATAGTCAAATTTTGGTAAATTGAAGTCGATACCCAAGATATTACCACACATCAAACACTATGGCTAGTGATAGATGAAAAAGGAAAGTGTGCGTACATAGAATTTGTATATTTAGAAAACGCTTTTGACAATGTTAAATTGAACAAGATGTTAAATACGTATACTTAAAAATGTAGTGATGAGTTCCAAAGATAGAAGAGTGATATTTAGTTTGTATAAAGAGCAACAGGCAATTATAGAGCTGGAACAGTAACGTAGAGATGTAAATATTAGGAAGGGAGTCAGACAGGGATGCACACTGTCATCGCTAGTTTTTAATCTATACATCGAAGACGCGATTAACATTATTAAAGACAGTACAATTGTAGTGATAGAAATACAGGGACAAAAGATTAGTATGCTTATATTTGCAGATGATATAGCAGTATTAGCATTTAGCAAGGAGGACTTAGAGATAGCTTTAAATAAAATGGAAGCGGTATTGACAAAACAGTATTGTATAGAAATAAATAAAAATAAAACAAAAATACTGGTATGCATGGGAAGAAAAAGTAGGGAAAGAGCGAATATAAAGATAGGAGACGAAAAATTAGAAGAAGTGGCCGATTTTAGGTATCTAGGAAGTCAGATAAGTCAGGACGGAAGGAGTAGTAAGGATATTAAGCAGAGGATAGCGCAAGGTCGAGTCGCCTTCAATAAAAAGAATTCACTTTTATCCATGCAGACGATTATTTTAGAAATTCGAAAAAGATTGTTAAAGGTGTGAGTTTGAAGCGCGGAGCTGTACGGATGTGAAACATGGACGGTGGGCGCGATGGATAAGAAAAGATTAGAAGAGTGCGAAATGTGGTGTTATAGGCGGATGATGAGGATACTATGGATAGAGAAGGTTAGAAATGAATAGGTATTAGAAAGAATAGGACAAGAAAGGACTCTATGGAAGTCAAGAGACAGGTTGGTAGGACACCTTCTCAGGCATTAAGGTCTGGTGAGAGACATATTAGAGGCGGATACAAGAGTTAAGAGGATCAGAGGTAGACCTAGATTAGATTACTCTTCGGAAATAGTTAAGGATGTCGGATGTTCTAGTTTTAGGAAAATGCGAAGATTAGGTCAGGATAAGAAGGAGTGGAGGTGCGTGTCCAACCAGTCTTAGGATTGACGACCTTTCGATTATGATAATGTAACTTAACCTACTCTTAACCCATTTGAAAACGTTAGGGCCTGCTACGTTTCATCTAAAACCTTAACTTATTCTCAAAAAGGAAGACGGTGCAACGTTGTATTTCAATTTGTGCTATTTTCGCTCTGTTTAATTCCAGCGATTGTCAAACGTTTCAATCCTCGACATTTTGAAATTTAGTGAAAAAGACTAGGTCAGATGATATTTGACAATCGCATCTGTTGTGCCTTTTCATTCAAATAACTGTCGAGCTGTTTCGCGTTTCTTTTTTTTCAAAACCATTTCGCCTCGTCATCGTTACCGTTGTGGGAACCGAATGATAGCAGCATTTTATTCGTTCCACACTTGTATAGGTACAACATCACCTTGTTGCCTTTGATTTTCTGAAATCGAAACAGTGTTTTCTGTGTTTGTTACACTTGGCTAGTACCATGGAACGGCCGACTATACATAGCTGAAAACACCGTCACCTGAGCGTTCATACTTCGCGAACACGACCGAGCCATTTGCCACTTTGCGAACCTTAAACACTCGCTTTTATTTTCCATTCTTACCTTCTTCTACTATTACCTACTCACATTGTACTTGCGACTCACCTGTAGCGGCAGATACAATTGGTGCCTGTCGTTCTTGTTATTGTTGCACTTCGAAATCGGAATGTGCCAAAAAAGTTGTACGTTCGCAAAACCGATTGATTGAAAAGTGCTGATACAACAACAACAACAACAATTACTATTACTCTACATTCCAACACAGATCATACACCTACTGACATAAATATTTACCAAGTACAATAGTGCGTTAGATAGGTGATAGTAAATAAGTTTCAAATTCTAATGGTATTTCCGAGTGCGGCATCATCAGCCTATTAAGGAAGCGCGAAATAAATCGTGTGAAACATATATTTATCTGTAAATGTACAGTGACTAAAAGTTACATTTAATTGTCAATTTTCGATCTGTGGTGTTTGAAGTAAAATGTATCTGTGCAGGAGGAGACCGGAATTTCCGGGTTCGTTGACGGATCTTCATAGATATCGGAAGACAGTCCATGGTCATGATGGAGACAGTCGGATTATTATGGTCAGAAAGACAGACGAGAGGACCTATGCTTCAATAGAAACGGGAAAGGTAAGTACCAATTAATAGGAACGGTGGCAACTTGTACGTAGGGTCACAGGCATAACGAGCCACCTTCATGTTCTTCAGAAAAAAGAAAAATTCATGTATTTGAGTCTACAATTTGTTATTGTTTGTTTTTGAATTATTAAGTCTCAACATTGATTGACTTCGTTAAAAATTCTTGGAACTAACTGCAAAAATCAGAGTTTTATTTCCTACATCTTTTGCCGAAACTTCCCAAAGATTCTTGTGACGAAAAATTGATATTGAGAAAGAAAGATTCATTTGGTGTAAAAAAGGGAGATCGTAGTATAGAAATACGTCATTATAAATTATAAATGTGCATAGTTCGTAATAATTAGAAGTAATTTGTTCTTATTGTGTGTATCAGTTTGATTTGATCGGATAAAATGAATAACGAGAGGTATTTTAGGCGAGTAACTCGAATGGTCCAAAACCGATTTATCATCAAAAATAGACAAGTAATACATCACTAGTGATTGATGGGTTAATGTACTAGGCCAATAGTTGGTAGATTTAGTAATCAAAACGAAAATAGAACTGTGTAATTAAACTGATTATGAAAAAGAAGAAAGCGGAACTTATTTATTTATGATAAATGGTAGTAATTAATAATTGCTAAAAGTTACGCTTTGAGGATACGTTTTTACGCGAACTTAAATTTAAAAAATCATACCGGAAGTTGTATATTATGTTATTGTTTACATTTGCGTCCTTGATATCAAATTAATTATTTATTGATTGAATGTATCAATTTCTTTTTATGTGTAAAATTGTAGGAAATACAATTTTAGATTTGCGGTTATTCTATGAATAAGTTTGAAGGTACTTTCGGCCTTCATTTACTAATGGTAGGTACTTGTTTACATTTTGTTTCTACTTCAACAATTACAAAAAAGTAAACACCTGTTATTGTATATGGTAGAAAAATTGTTTTTTAAACTTTGCTGGTGCTCGATATTTTTTTTAACTTTCAATTAGTTTGGGTTTTTAATTTATTTTAACGATAGTAAACGTTCTAACTAAATTTATGAGTTTTTGGACAAACGTTTTTGTAATGTTATAGTATATTAGACCTACAAGCGATTTTTGTTTGTCTAGGAAACAATTTTTCAATTGTCATTTTAAGCCATCAGTATTGTGACAGTTTTTGTCAACTGTATTTTCATGTTATGTACAAAATTTTAGTAAAAGTTTAACTATAAAAAGAAAATCAAAAAACTAAAACCAAAAAATTCTAATGGGTACATAATGGTCTGAAACTCAAAAAGAATCTGATGCCTTATTTCTGTGCATTTTCAAAAGATTACATTATAACCTATTAATACCTGGATTAAGTTCGTGCTTAAATTGTTCTGGGGATAGCATGTTTTGATTTTTTTTCCAGGAGCCTCTTCTTGAAACTGTAACACGGGAAACAGTAGAAACCTTTAGAGGTCAGCGTACTCAGTTAAGGGTCACGACAGAGAGGAAAGAAAAAAACGAAAAAGTGCCTCCAGACCTATTAGAAGCTCTTGGCGAAAATTACAAAAAAACGCACAGGATTAAAAGGAGTAGCAGTGAGGTTAGTATTTTCGTTCTTATTTGATTGTTAATAGATAAATTTAATTTGCTTTGGTTATTTTTAATTTGTGTTTCGTTCCTGCTGAATATGTAAAATAATATATAGATAAAAAGGGTCGTGAATCATCCTGTTTGATGTCTAATTTATTCTTCTTTGAGGGTAGGTGTAATAGTGTAGAATTCTAAGTGTGTCACAAGATGTTTTCAATATTTCGGTGATAGGTGAAGAAGTCGCCGAGTTTAGGTACTTAGGACGTCAGATAAGTCAGAACGGAAGGAGTAGTAGGGTTATAAAGCAGAGGATAGCGCAGGGTCGAGTCGCCTTTAATAAAAAGAAGTTACTTTTGTGTTTGCGAACGATTAATTTGGAAATTCTAAAAAGATTGTTAATGTTGTATGTTTGGAGCACGGCGCTGTACGGGTGCGAAACATGGATGGTTAGCGCGGCGGAAAATAAAAGGTTAGAAGCGTTCGAAATGTGGTGTTATAGGCGGATGATGAGGATATCGTGAAGATGAGAAGGTTCGAAATGAAGAGGTATTAGAAAGAATAGGAGACTCTATGGAAGTCAATAAGAAATAGACGAGATAGGTTAGTAGGACATCTTCTTAGGCATAAAGGTCTAGTCAGAGACATTAGGAGTAGAGGTAGACGTAGATTTGATTACTGTTCGCAAATAGATGTGGGTTGTTATAGTTTTGGGCGAATGCGAATTTAGTTCAGAATAGGAAAGAGTGGAGGTGCGTGTCCAACCAGTCTTAGGACTGACGACCTTACAATGATGATAACGTGAAGGAGAAACTAAAATCCAAATGGGGTTTTCCACTTCTTCCTGGAATTTCTACTAACTTACATGGTTCCTTTTCTAGAATACTTGAAAAATGTCAGAATTTGTAAAGGAATGTCTAAAAGCCCACAACGAATATCGCGCCAAACATGGCGTCCCACCCCTGAAACTAAACACAGAAATAAGCAAATTTAGTCAAAGTTATGCAGAAAGATTATTAGCAGAAAAGAGAATGACTCATAGCGGTCACGAATCGTACGGTGAAAATCTTTATTATGTGTATTCAACAGACCCCAAGTACACCCTTTCACCAACCGAACCCGTTAAGAGTTGGTACGATGAAATAAAGTTCTTTCGATTTGGAGAAGAACCAAAAGATTTAAAAGCTAGCCATTTTACCCAGTTGGTTTGGAAAGACACTGAAGAAGTAGGGATTGGTGTAGCCAAAGATAAAGATACGGTTTTTGTTGTTGTAAACTATCACCCTCCAGGAAATTATGTCGGGGAATATAAGGACCAAGTACTACCCCCAGCAAAAGCAAAATAACTTTAATAATATTTTATATAGTTTGTTTTATAAAGTTAAATAAACATCTACCAAAAATGCTTACCCTTGTCTATGTCCATTGTGAAAGCGCCCAAGGGAAAGCTACAAAAAAGCGTTTTGTAATTTCTACCAACCGCAAATTAAAATCTTGTCATCTATCTACTGATTAGGACGAAAAATTAAAACAATGGAGGAAATTCTTACAATTAATTTCCACGATTCTTCGCTTTTTAGAAAATCTAATAAAAAATGTCAGACTTCGTTGAAGAGTGTCTAAAAGCTCATAACGAGTACCGGTCATTGCATGGCGTCCCACCTGTGACATTGAACCATGAAATTAGTGAATTCAGCCAAAGTTGGGCAGAAATGTTGTTGGCTGAGAAACGATTTCAGCCCAGCGGTAATCCCAGCTATGGAGAAAATTTGTTTTATGTGTACTCACCGGTTCCCAATTTTAAACTTTCACCCAAGAGCCCGGTCAAAAGTTGGTACGACGAAATAAAGTTTTACCGGTTCGGGGAAGAACCTGTAGATCTGACCGCTGGCAGATTCACGCAACTCATTTGGAAAGATACCAGAGAGATCGGTATTGGGGTTGCGCGAGACGAAGACACGGCAATAGTGGTTGTTAATTATTACCCTCCGGGAAATTATGTGGGTGCTTTTAGGAAACAAGTACCACCTCCAAGGGCTAAAAGTTGGCTCGACTGGTCAAGTTGGTTATCATAGAAAATCAGTTGATTAAATATTGCACAAAAGAATCATATTTGTATCAAATAAAATTGGTTTTTCTTGTTTGTGTAGATTTATTCGTTAAAAAATATGTATATATACAATATAAGATTATATATTCGGCACTGTCAGAGTCCTACTCTGAGTTTGAGCCTGATGATGCCGAAAGGCGAAACAGTTTTTACTAATAAATAAATAATTTCGTAAAATGGAATGTATAAAAAAATAATAGATTTATAACAATCAATTTAGTTAAACCCTACAACAGGTAGTTTAGGTTCTACTAATATTTTTATTGTTTTTTTGGTGTCCAGCAATTATTTCCTAATTCGAAATTGATAATTGTATTTCCTTGCAATTATACGAGGGGGTGGGGGGGGGGTGGAATATAGAAATGAGGAGGTTTTATAAAGAGGAGGAAAACAGGGGATTTGGAAGTCAATAATAACAAATCTTAGGTGGGGAAGTCAATAATAAGAAATGTTAGGTGGCAGGTTGGTAAGATACTTTCTCAGACATGAAGGACTAATTAGAGACATATTAGAAATGGAAATAGGAGTTAAGAAGGACATATTTGCGTTTCCGATTTCAGCCTGCACAAACATTAGAAAGTGGTAGAGAACTAATACAGGGTGAGTGAAGACGGCAAGCCGCCTCACCACCCTTCTTCGTAATCTGCGGTTTGACTACTCGATTATTGTTATTTTCGCTATTTAAACAGCCGCTAATTAACCTACCAATAAAATAATTCGAAGTGGTCTGTATTCTGTCGAAACTGCCAGACGCGGTTCGCGATTTCGATCTTTTGGATCTCATCAGCGCATTAGCCCAGAATTTATGGATACTGTGTAACACTATGTATGTATAGATTCGCCTGTGTTCTAATGTTAAAATAATTGTAGAAATTTTATGGAAACAAATCGTCTTTGAGAGAGACAAAAATTGGTACCAATCAATTGTTTTCTTTTAGCTTTTTACATCTAAGGGAATTACCAATCAAAAAGTTTTCGACAATAGTTTTAAAATAATCTTTCTGATAGTTGTGGTTCCTTTTCTAGAATTTTTGAACGAATATGTCTGATGATTTCTTCACCGAATGTTTGAACGCCCATAACGAGTATAGAGCTAAACATGGCTGCCCTCCATTGACCCTGAACAGTGAAATAAGCAAGTTCAGTAAATCTTGGGCTGAAAAACTTCTTTCCCAACAAAAAATGCAGCACAGTGGTAATAGCAGTTACGGCGAAAATTTGTATTACATGTTCTCATCTGATTCAAAAGCTACCCTATCGCCGAGCGTCCCTGTGAAAAGTTGGTATGACGAAATAAAGTTTTTCAAGTTCGGACAAGAACCGAAAGACCTGAAAGCGGGTCATTTCACTCAGGTTATTTGGAAAGACACAAAAGAAGTCGGCATCGGGCTCGCTTCTAATAAGGGCTACTTTTACGTGGTTGCTGATTATGCACCACCAGGGAATGTCATGGGAAATTTCAAAGAAATGGTTCCTCCTCCTAAATGAATTTATTTTATTTTTACCCATAGCCGAAATGTAGAGTTGTTGAAATAAATTTTGAATGAGATTACCTTTTGGTATATTGTTGTGGTTGTAGGAAGTTGATTGCTTGACGTTGACTGAATAGTTATTTGAACAGTAGACATAGAGACTATTTTTCTTGTAGATTCCATCAAAAATGGACCTCCAAAAAGAGTTCTTGAAAGCTCACAATGAACTACGTGCCAAACATGGTGTAGCAGCCCTTAAACTAAACGCCACAATTAGTAAATTAAGTCAGTTACATGCGGAAAAAATGCTTCGAACGGGCAAATTTGAGCACAGCGATAACCAGAAATATGGCGAGAATATCTTCTATATGTGGTCCCCAGATCCAAATTTCAACGTCGGCGCCTATGACGTGGTCAGAAGTTGGTATGCCGAAATAGACAACTACACGTTTGGAGTAGAACCTAAACAGTTGAACACCGGTCACTTCACGCAAGTGGTGTGGAATGGATCTAAAGAGTTAGGGGTAGGTTTGGCGAGATCTAAGGGCCGCGTTTACGTAGTGGCAAACTACTATCCCCCTGGCAACGTTAAGGGGTTGTTCGCCAAAAACGTCTTCCCACCGAGGGAGGCTAACAATAACGAACTAGCGAAAAGTTTCAATAAACTTGATGTCTCCGACAGAAGCAGAAGATCTACCCCCACCCATACCCCTAACAGTTGTAAGTACTTTTAAGTTTTTCGTGGTCATCCCATTTACTTACAGTTTTCTTTATTTTTCTATTTACGAAGATCGATCAGTTATTGAAGGTACAGAAGGTAACTTCGAAGAAGATTTTTTGAAAGCACACAACGATTATAGGGCACGTCACGGGGTTCCCCCGTTAAAACTTGACCGTAAAATATCGAAATATGCGGAAGAATGGGCTAAAATGCTAGCGGTAAAAAATGTCCTCGAACATCGTAAAAACAACCCTTACGGCGAAAACATATATATGATGTATTCATCCGATCCAAATTTTAAAATTACTGGGAACAGTCCCGTCGACGCGTGGTACGACGAAATTAAATATCACACGTTCGGGAGGGAACCGAACAGTCTAAAATCCGGGCATTTTACGCAAGTTGTGTGGAAAAGTAGCGAGTTGGTGGGGGTCGGTGTGGCGAAAAGTAAGCAAGGGTCTATTTACGTAGTTGCAAATTATTCTCCACCCGGTAATTTCGTCGGTAGCTACGCGCAAAACGTACCACCGTTACTAAGCACTTCTTCGTCCGACAACACCCCTAGTCATAATCCTGCAGATTCTCCGGGTACTAGAATTGCAAGATCAATTGACGTCGCAACGGGAAAGTTCACTCAGTTCCAAACAGACGCCTTAAAAGCCCACAACGAATTGAGGAGACGACATGGAGTTCCTGACCTAGTCTTGGATAAAGGGGTAAGTCTTTTTCATATTTAATTAATATTATCGGGTTGTTCGGAAAGTCATTTCGTTTTTTCCCGACAGAGGATTTAATTGTATTCTTTTGCACCCAACTTCACATTTAAGCCGTATAATTTTTATATGCTTTGAGAGCTCATATAGCAAGGCTTGTGTGTGAAAAATTCCAATTAATTCTACGCAGTAGTTTTTGGTTGGTGCCCTTTTAAATATGGAGAGCGATAAGCAGCATTTTCGACATATCTTACTGTTTTACTACAGAAAGGGTAAAAAATGCCGTTCAAGTCAGAAAGAAATTGACTGATGTGTATGAAGAAGGTGTGTTGACAGTACGCCAGTGCCAGAAGTGGTTCGCTAAATTTCGATCCGGCAATTTTGATGTCGAAGATGCACCACGTTCGGGAAGGCCGGTTGAAGCTGATAAAGACGCGATAAAGACATTAGTTGATGTGAACTGGCGAATAACAACACGTGATATCGGATTGAGGTTAAATTTATTAAATTCAACAGTTTATGACCACTTGAAAGGCCTGGGATTATCCTCGAAGCTCGATGTATGGGTTCCCCATGTTCTCACAGAGAGAAATATGTGTCGCCGCATTGACGTCTGCGATTCGCTTCTCAAACGTCACGAAAATGATCCGTTTTTGAAGCGCATCATCACTGAAGACGAAAAATGGGTTGTATACAACAACGTCAAACGCAAGAGGTCATGGAGCAAAAAAGATGAACCGGCTCAAACCATTTCCAAAGCCGATATTCACCAAAAAAAGGTGATGCTGTCTGTTTGGTGGGATTTTAAAGGAATCGTTTTTTTTTGAGCTTTTACCGGATAACACAACGATTAATTCGGAAGTCTACTGCCATCAGCTGGACAAACTGAATGATGCACTTCAACAGAAAAGGTCAGAACTAATCAACAGGAAAGGTGTAGTGTTTCACCAAGACAACGCGAGACCTCATACAAGTTTGGTCACTCGCCAAAAGCTTTTACAGGTTGAATGGGATACAATGCTACCCCCACCATATTCTCCAGACCTGGCACCATCGGATTATTATTTGTTCCGGTCACTCCAAAATTTTTTAGACGGTAAAACCTTCACCTCAAATGAAGAGGTCAAAAACCTCCTCGATCAGTTTTTTGCCAGCAAAGACCAAAAATTTTATGAGCGTGGAATTATGCTACTACCAGAAAGATGGCAAAAGGTGTTGGACCAGAACGGTCAATATATAATTTAATAAAATATTTTTTTATTATACGAAAATTTCCACAAAAAGAAAACGAAATGACTTTCCGAACAACCCTATAGTTCTATATAGGATTCGTAGGTTTAGAAAAAGCCTTTGACAGGGATGCACACTGTCACCGCTATGTTTTAATCTATATATCTATAAAGATCGTTAATATTAATGATTATTATAACAACAGGACACATTTAGGGATAGATATAGAAAGGTAGTAAAAAATTTAGTGGTAACAATATTTATTTTGTTTAAATAGTTGTGCGATTTTGCTCAAGAATGGGCCGAATATTGTCTGCGACACGACTTAGGGCTTCGCAGCAACAACCCCTACGGGGAAAACCTTCTAACTGTTACGTCGTCTGATTCCAAAAGGGTGCCAGATGCGAAAGACGTCGTGGACACCTGGTATCGCGAAATAAGTAAGCACGACTACAACAAGGAATCGCTCAATTATGATACGTTACATTTTTCGCAAATTGTATGGAATGGGACGAAGGAATTGGGGATCGGGGTGGCGCAAAACGAAAGGGGTAAGGCGGTCATTGTTGCCAACTATAGTCCTCGTGGTAACGTGTATGGCCAGTTCAAGACCAACGTGTTTAAGCCTAAAGTATGACCTTTAACGAAAAGGGTTACTTTTCAGTAAAGGAACGGGTACATTTTACAGACTGAACATGAATATTGCTTTGACATTCCACTAAAACTTTTATTGAATTACAGGACTTTACATTCCTTTTTCTAAGGTTTCTTAAGGACACATTTATAGGCATTTTTTTTTACTTTTTCTTTGTTACAATAGAACAATTTTATGCAAATTCAGAACGAATTGATGTTGTTCTGATTCGGGTCTAAAGGCCATCGTTCCTTCTAACGAACTTCTTCAAAGGTTCCGATTCTGAATGTTGACTTGCGATTTCTTCTGATTTCACCCAGAATGTGAGTTGGAAGGATCTCTGGAGAAGTTGGTATTAGCGAAACGTTAGAAAGCAACCCCAATAGATGACCGACGGCCTTCAGGCCCGAATCAGACAGCATCAGACTACCTACTGGCCACGAAAGTCTTTACCAGTTCGAATTCAGAATGTTACAATTTATTGTTTTTTATTGGAGCACAAGACTTAAAATACTATTTGAAAACTGATCAACAAATTAGTAAGGGTAAAGTTGAGGCCTTAGATTGACCGTCTTAAATAATATAAATATATATCATTCTACTTGTAATACGTGTAGTAAGGGCAACACTAAGTGAATTAATAAGTTCCCACTTTAATTAAAATGTTTCACTTATTATCTCCTTTACTATATCTTTATCTTTGGTTTTATTATTATTGATGACTTTTTGATGTGTAGCGGTTAGGACGAAACTTATTAAACGGTTAAGTACGAACTGAAATTGATAATCAAGGGTTTACTTATTTCAATGGTAAATGTAAATAATGAATGCTAGCGGTATAAACTTCGAAAATAGATAATGCCAGTAAGATAAGAAATAAACCAAACGTTATTCTGATGGATTATAAGCCAATAAAATATTCGTAAAATCGTCGGTCTGTGATAGGAAAATGTTTGAAAAATATTTTGTAGATGTTTGCCTATATACATTTGTAAAATGCACTGTTTTGCTTTGGAAGTTTTAAGTTTATATTAGTTTTTAATCGCTTAAAGCACTGCTAACAGGTCCGTTTTATGAACACAGATTTGTATTAGTAAATTTGTATGTAACTATCGCAAAACAAACGCCACAGTATTGTACGTAGTAACAATTTTACAATTAGTTACTTAACTAAGTCACAGTTGTATTTGAAGATTTACCTTAATATTAAAGGAAACGTCTACCAAAGGATTTACATGGTTTTTAATTTAATTTTTAGAATTTAACGCTTATGCATACATATAAATATCTAAAGAATTTTCTTCGTCAGGACCTTTCGTAAAGGTCCTGTTCCTTTTTTTTTTTAAATTACTTAGGTCTCGATTTTTCTATAAAATTCCTCATATTCAAGACTATTTTACTTACACTAATTTTCATTAGGTATTTAAATGTTAATATAATAAAAACAAATTATATATTGCTGTAAACCAAAAATACTATTAGGCTTGTTTTATGATACGTATAGATAACAATCATATTGGCCTAATTATCTTACAATTAGTTTAATTTTATTTTATTTTATTTACTGGAATATTAATTATATAGGCCTNCATTTTAGCTCTATAAGAAAATTACCAATTTATTTGTTTATAGAATGCTTACTTTTGTCTTTGAATAATTTTTTATTACACATGTTGTTAATTGTGAATTTAAAATGTTACCGTGGTTCCTCATGTTAAAGTTGTAATTAATAAAAAATAAATTCATTTATGCAAAATGGCAGACCCATTTCATTCACAGCATAAAAAGAGTACATTATAATTTAAAAATTTCCATGCTATTTTTTGAGGAAATTATTAAAGCTGAATGAGTTTGTGTTTTATTATCCTTTTGTAAAATCAAAAAACTTTTTAACAGTTAACATTTTCATTCTTTTTTTTACAATAAATAAAATTAGGTCACTCGAAGATATCCTAGATACTATTCTAGTGGAAAAATTATTATTATTACAGGCTACGTCGGCAGAATAAATAATTTACGATAATATTAATTTTTACTCATCTTGACCTCTACATTGCTTCATTCATTAAACGATGTTGTCCTTTCGTTGGTGCTTGGTGACATTGTGTTATAGTTAAGTTATCTTCGTAGGTATCTGATTGACGGTGTTCGGTCATTATAAACAACGGCGTTTTAAAATTAATTATTACAGGCTACGTCGGCAGAATAAATAATTTACGATAATATTAATTTTTACTCATCTTGACCTCTACATTGCTTCATTCATTAAACGATGTTGTCCTTTCGTTGGTGCTTGGTGACATTGTGTTATAGTTAAGTTATCTTCGTAGGTATCTGATTGACAGTGTTCGGTCATTATAAACAACGGCGTTTTAAAATTAATTATTATTGTATTTCGTGTGCAATTTGAACTTTAAGTGATGCAAACAAAATATTACACGAGTGAAAAGCTTAAAATAACAGGACTGTATGGATATTTCTGGCAGTTCCATCACAGAAGGTAGGCTTTTGTTGACTCTTCTATTAACATAAACATCATTGACCGTGATTAGACAATCAGTCACCTATTAATTGGAAAAGCAATGCCAATAATATATACTATACATTCTTATTAATGAAAGGGTTTAGTGTAGGGCAGTGTACGAACAAAATTCCTTTGTTACGTATAAAGTGTACAGATGATTCATAAATAATAAAATTTAACTTATTAGTGTCATCATCACATAGACACACATTTCTACATTACTTTCACCCCCTTGAACCATTTAAATCATTGTTTAACAAGTCGAAAATTCAGTTGCGATTTTGTATGTTTAACGTTTTTATGTAATTTTCAAGTTTTAATAATGAAATTTGCTTTATTCTTAATTGCAGTTCAAATTGTTGTCAGTACGTCATTCATCACACATTTCTACATTATTTTCACCCCTTTGAACCATCTAAATCATTGTTTCACAAGTCCATAATTCAGTTGCGCTTTTTTATGTTTAACATTTTTACGTAACTTTTAGTTTTTAACAATGAAATTTGCTTTACATTAAATTGAAGTCCAAAACTGTTGTTTGCACCTTATTTCTCATACATTTATACATTACTTTCACCCCCTTGAACCATCACAATCATTGTTTATCAAGTCTATAATTCAGTTGCGCTTTTTTATATTTAACATTTTTACGCAATTTTCGGGTTTTAACAATGAAACTTGCTTGACATTAAATTGAAGTCCAAAACCGTTGTCTGGACGTTATTCCTTACACATTTCTACATTACTTTCATCCCCTTGAACCATTTAAATCATTGTTTAACGAGTCGAAAATTCAGTTGCGATTTTGTATGTTTAACGTTTTTATGTAATTTTCAAGTTTTAATAATGAAATTTGCTTTATTCTTAATTGCAGTTCAAAATTGTTGTCAGTACGTCATTCATCACACATTTCTACATTATTTTCACCCCTTTGAACCATCTAAATCATTGTTTCACAAGTCCATAATTCAGTTGCGCTTTTTTATGTTTAACATTTTTACGTAATTTTTAGTTTTTAACAATGAAATTTGCTTTACATTAGATTGAAGTCCAAAACTGTTGTCTGGACGTTATTCCTCATACATTTCTACATTATTTCCACCCCCTTGAACCATCTAAATCATTGTTTAACAAGTCGAAAATTTAGTTGCGCTTTTTTATATTTAAGATTTTTACGTAATTTTCGGGTTTTAATAATGAAATTTGCTTTACATTAAATTGAAGTCCAAAACTGTTGTTTGCACCTTATTCCTCATACATTTCTACATTACTTTCACCCCCTCGAGTCATCAAAATAATTGTTTATCAAGTCCATAATTCAGTTGCGCTTTATTATGTTTAACATTTTTACGTAATTTTCGGGTTTTAACAATGAAATCTTCTTTATTCTAAGTTGCAGTTCAAAACCGTTGTCAGTACGTTATTCATAACATTTCTTCATTACTTTCATCCTCTTGAACCATTTAAATCATTTTTTAACAAAGCGAAAACTCAGTTGCGCTTTTTTATGTTTAACATTTTTACGTAATTTTCGGGTTTTAACAATGAAATTTGCTTTACGTTAAATTGAAGTCCAAAACCGTTGTCTGGACGTTATTCCTCACACATTTCTACACTACTTTCATCCCGTTGAACTATTTAAATCATTGTTTAACAAGGCGAAAATTCAGTTGCGCTTTTTTATGTTTAACATTTTTACGTAACTTTTAGTTTTTAACAATGAAATTTGCTTTACATTAAATTGAAGTCCAAAACTGTTGTTTGCACCTTATTTCTCATACATTTATACATTACTTTCACCCCCTTGAACCATCACAATCATTGTTTATCAAGTCTATAATTCAGTTGCGCTTTTTTATATTTAACATTTTTACGCAATTTTCGGGTTTTAACAATGAAACTTGCTTGACATTAAATTGAAGTCCAAAACCGTTGTCTGGACGTTATTCCTTACACATTTCTACATTACTTTCATCCCCTTGAACCATTTAAATCATTGTTTAACGAGTCGAAAATTCAGTTGCGATTTTGTATGTTTAACGTTTTTATGTAATTTTCAAGTTTTAATAATGAAATTTGCTTTATTCTTAATTGCAGTTCAAAATTGTTGTCAGTACGTCATTCATCACACATTTCTACATTATTTTCACCCCTTTGAACCATCTAAATCATTGTTTCACAAGTCCATAATTCAGTTGCGCTTTTTTATGTTTAACATTTTTACGTAATTTTTAGTTTTTAACAATGAAATTTGCTTTACATTAAATTGAAGTCCAAAACTGTTGTTCGCACGTTATTCCTCAGACATTTATACATTATTTTCACCTCCTTGAACTATTTAAATCATTGTTTAACAAGTCGAAAATTCAATTGCGCTCTTTTTTGTTTAACATTTTTACGTAATTTTCGGGTTTTAACAATGAAATTTGCTTGAGTTTAAATTGAAGTCCAAAACTGTTGTTTGCACCTTATTCCTCATACATTTCTACATTACTTTCACCCCCTTGAAGAATCTAAATCATTGTTTAACAAAGCGATAATTCAGTTGCGCTTTTTTATGTTTCACATTTTTACGTAATTTTCGGGTTTTAACAATGAAATTTGCTTGAGTTTAAATTGAAGTTCAAAACTGTTGTCTGGACGTTATTCCTCACACATTTCCACATTACTTTCACCCCCTTGAACCATTGAAATCATTGTTTAACAAGGCGAAAATTCAGTTGCGCTTTTTTATGTTTAACATTGTTATGTAATTCTGGGGTTTTAACAATGAAATTTGCTTGAGTTTAAATTGAAGTCTAAAACCGTTGTCTGAACGTTATTCCTCACACATTTCCACATTACTTTCACCCCCTTGAACCATTGAAATCATTGTTTAACAAGGCGAAAATTCAGTTGAGTTTTTTCATGTTTAACGTTTTTACGTAATTTTCAGGTTTTAACAATGAAATATTGTTTATTCTAAGTTGCAGTTCAAAACCGTTGTCAGTACGTTATTCATCACACATTTCTACATTATTTTCACCCCCTTGAATCATCTAAATCATTGTTTAATAAGGCGAAAATTCAGTTGCGCTTTTTTATGTTTAACATTTTTACGTAATTCTGGGGTTTTAACAATGAAATTTGCTTTACTTTAAATTGAAGTCCAAAACCGTTATCTGGACGTTATTCCTCACACATTTCCACATTACTTTCACCCCTTTGAATCATTGAAATCATTGTTTAACAAGGCGAAAATTCAGTTGCGCTTTTTTATGTTGGAACATTTTTACGCAATTTTCGGGTTTTAACAATGTAATTTGCTTTAGTTTAAATTGAAGTCCAAAACCGTTGTCTGGACGTTATTCCTTATACATTTCTACATTACTTTCATCCCACTGAACAATTTAAATCATTGTTTAACAAGGCGAAAATTCAGTTGCGTTTTTTTATGTTTAACATTTTTACGTAATTTTCGGGTTTTAACAATGAAATTTGCGTTACTTTAAATTGAAGTTCAAAACCGTTGCCAGGACGTTATTCCCCACATTTTTGTGTATTACATTCACCTTTAACATCTTTCAATGTAATTGTTCAACAGGTCGAAAAACGGAACTTATTTTACTGAAACCTCATATATTGCCTCCTTTGGTACATCTTTTTATTTTTTTGATATCGTTTTATTTATCAAATAAACATTTTGTTTGCTCTTTTAAGGCGATGTATATTTGTTGGAGTTTTTTCATGACCTTTATAAAAGCGAATTCGTCATTATCAAAAGGGCTTGCTTCGTCACGAATGAAAGAACGAGATAGATATAATGAGAGTGAGAAGAAGACGGAAATTGAAACATTTCCTGTAAAAGAAAAGTATTTCGGTGTCCAGGTCCGATCTCACACGAGCAATAGAAATTAATATTACAATTTACTGTTATTATTAAATCGGCGCCATGTTAATGGGTAGTACCGAGTGCTATTAATTAATTTAATTATCGCTTTAGTTTTCGTAATTTAGTAAAGAAAACTTATCCGATATCGTGTTGTGCAATCATCAATGTGAATTTGAACAGTGATTGGAACGAAAGTTTTACTTAGGATTAGGATTACGAGTGGAGTGTAGTATAAATGGTGAGTTATTGAAATAAGGGTTATCATCCGTTTTGAACATTACTTTGCATGATCGTCATCGTTACATTTAGTGTTTGTTATGTTTTATATAATAAGGGTGCTCCTTAATTTTTACATTGGGAATGCCTCAATTTGTTAATAAAGACTGAATCCTAACGCGCAAGTACTAGTTGTTGATTACAATTGTGAACGCTGAATTACACAATGGTTTTCATTAAGAATTTCTTTTATTAGAACAAAATGTATTTTTATAAAGGATCTTTACGAACTTTTGTGAATTACGTAAAAGATTTTTGGTTTTATTAATGAATTTTTTTAAATGACATGTATACATATAGTGTGTTCGTAGGTTTTCAAATTCGAAATTTTGTACGATTACTTGAACAAAAAAATAATCTTTACCTTTTAATATGAAACAAAATTGGNAATTTGCCTTGTAGATTAATGCATTTATGTATGAAATAAACTATGTTAACGTTGTATTACTAGAAGATGTGTTAGTTTCTCAATTTAATAGTGTGTGGAACTATTTTCCGAAATTAACGAATCAATGTTGAAAGCTGTTTCATTATTTTAAACCTATACGATTATTAAGGTGGTTGTGGTCTGATTTCCGAAACTAACCACCTAATTTTGAAAGTTTCTTCACTGTTTTAAAGCTATTCCATAATCAAAGTAGTTGGAGACTATTTGGAATGTTTTTAAATGAGTTAGGCTTTTTTTGTCGATATGCCTAATTTGTATCTTATATTCTCTGGATACTTTCACCCTTCGATAGTAGCATTTTTGTATAAAATAAACTTTATTAACGTTGTATTACCAGGAGATGTGACAATAATTTCTCTATTGAATAGTGTTTTGGGCCTGATTTTCGAAATTAACGAAGCAACGTTGAAAACTGACTCATTGTTTTAAAGCTTTACGATTATTGTAGTGGCTGTGCTCAGCTTTTAAAATTTTTTAAATAGAAAAAGGATGTTTGTGTTACACACGTTAGTGTATCTAATTTCGAGCGTGATCGTCTGTCATTTTTTATCCGAATACTTGCTCTCTTTAACAGCCGTATGCTGAACAGTCGGCCGATACAACAAAACAATTCCCTGGATTGTATAACTTAAACTTTTTTGAATTTGGAGAATGCGGTAGTTTCTCTATTTAGTATTACGGGGGCTAATGTCCGAAATTAACAAAATACTGATGAAAGCTTTTGTGTATTACATTCACCTTTAACACCTTTCAAAATAATTGTTTAACAGGTCGAAATTTCAGTTGCGCTTTTCTATGTTTAACATTTCTACGTAGTTTTCGTCGTAATTGGGTGTCCAGGTCCGATCTAACACGAACAATAGAAATTAATATTACAATTTACTGTTATTATTAATTCGGCGCCATGTAAATGGGTAATATCGAGTGCTATTAATTAATTGAATTATCGCGTTACTTTCCGTAGATTAGTAAAGAAAACTTATCCGATATCGTGTTGTGCAATCAATGTGAATTTGAACAGTGATTGGAACGAAAGTTGTACTTAGGATTAGGATTAGGATTAGGATTCAAGTGGAATGGAGTATAAATGGTGAGTTATTGAAATAAGAGTTATCATCCGTTTTGATCATTACCTTGCATGATCGTCATCGTTAAATTTAGTGTTTGTTATCTTTTAAATAGTAAGGGTGCTTCTTAATTATTACATTAGGAATGCCTCAATTTGATAACAAAGACTGAATCCAAACGCGCAAGTACTAGTTGTTGTATGATTGCAATTATGAACACTGAATTACACAATGGTTTTAATTAAGATTTTCTTTTATTAGAACAAAATATATTTTTATGACCTATCTTTACGAACTTTTGTGAATTACGTAAAAGAATTTCGGTTTTATTAATGAATTTTTTTAAATGACATGTATACATATAGTGTGTTCGTAGGTTTTCAAATTCGAAATTTTGTACGATTACTTGAACAAAAAAATAATCTTTACCTTTTAATATGAAACAAAATTGGTTTAATCTAGTTTTCATTAATTTAAGTTTTTTTTTGGGAGGGTAAACTATAAAAGTCAATAAAATTACTATTTGCAAACATTTTTCAAAAAAAATATTCTACAATTTTCTTATAATTTACATTTGTCACCAACCGAATATAATTTTTTTTTTTAAATTTCGTATAATAGGCCTGAATAAATACTTTTTAGTTTAACCATTTCACCGCCATTAGTTTCCGTTTATTGAATACATATAGTTCGCTCGTAGCGGCTAGCCTTAGGTATCTTATACGGTCACTTGAGTAAGTTGTCTCACTCAGATGAACTGCTGATGGCGCCTAGGTGGTTCATTGTATGAGGTTGGGGCTTCGGAAAAGAGTGGCTGGATAAGTTCTAATTTACCAATAAGATTTAAATATTTTCTCTGCATCCCAATCCAAATAACTCTGATTGTAATACACAAAAGAACTTCAAAAAGATACCGCTCTTTGCCAGTTAATGATTTGGTTCGCATGCTGCCCATGTGATGAAATTCTAACATTTCACCTGCTCCAGTTAACATACACGTATACTCACGAGCCAATACACAGCGCAAACAGGATAATTCATCACTTAAAGTTCCTAGTATCCCTTTTACTCCTAAGTGCGGTATTTTACGTTTTGCTTCTTCTCTTCTATCAACTAAAGTTTCCCACACCTTAAATTACATACACCTCTGTGCCAAGGACGATTAAATTTCGATTACTTGTAGAGATCATGTTAATTAGTATCGATAGTCAACTATTAAAATATGGAATTTAAGGATGGATCAACAATTTTTCGAATTTATTGTTTATGCGCAAACCAACAATTTAATTATTTAGTAAAATTCATTATTTTAAACATAGTTTACCTGAATATAATACTGAAAGTATACCATTGCTGCTCTTAAAAATGAATCCACCGTTTGTGTGTGAAAAAATCGTATAAATTTGGTCGTTAAGTCTTTCGGGGAAGCAAGAAAAAGGACAACGTCCTTTATGTCTTGAAGAATAATATAACTTGTCGTTCCTATTTTAGCTTTTCTTTGGAAACGTCTTCTGAATCTTATCTGTTAATTTCATTAGTTTAAACTTTTAATAAATAATTAAGATATTTTTTATTGTTAAAACAAAATCGTGTGTGAATAATGAAAACTGATACTTTTTCGACATTGTCCACTGTGTCTCGAAATTTCACTTCGAATGCACTTTGAACGACAACTTTTGTCGCAGTTTGACCCTGTGCGGTGCCTTGTTGATCGTCCTGATTGGCGCTGCAGAAACAACACAATAAATTCTTTTATTAAATTTAATTCAAGAGGGAATCAATACCGTTTACCTCTGAAAAGTTAATTCATTTGTAAGATCATCCCATGTCCAAGTTCCACTTGCAAATTGGGTGCTTTCTTCGCCCATTTTTTATGATTACATGTTAGAAATTATACGTATGCTTTCAAAAGTCAATAATTTAGTGACAGCTTTCACTTACTCAATAATTTTTGTCTTTCTTTTTTGAAAAAAAAAAAACTACTTTCAAACTTTAAATTTTTATTAGAAAACAAATTTAATAACAAATAACATTTAAATATTACTTATCATGTTCAATTTGGTTTATATCATTTTTCTAAAATGGAAGTGGAAATAGTTCTAATATATTGCGTTCTACATTTTCATATAATACACCAGAGTACAATTTGCAAAAAGTTGATATTACGATTACTAAAATTGACCATAATTTGGAGAAGTTGCAAATTGCTGAAAAAGAAAACGAGCATGATTTTGTTAATAAGCAATTTAAATTATGCTTTTTTACCTTCATAAGCAAATAATTGTGACAGTGTTGTATAAAAAAGCACAAATGTAAAATGGAATTCATGGACACCATTGTCCCATATAACTGACGGTAAAAGTAGGAAAACCCCAAAAGATGACAATGTAACAGTTTTTAGTAAAATTATTGGGGAATATTGCTTCCTTTTATAGAACTTTGTTAGGAAGTATGTCAGAAGAAATGTAGATATTGAGAAGCAGGCATGTTCTGTAACAATATAAAGAAAGTAGATAAAAAAATAACTTTAGGCATATTAAAAAACTGTTAGTGATTAATACCCACTTACGGTCACACCAGCTAATATTCTATAAAATTTGAAATCACCAATGTAAAATTCATTAGTAATTTCTGCTGTTGGTGTAGGTGTTAAAGACCAATTAGCATAAGCCTCCATGGCGAGAATAAGGAAAGCCAACTTCCACAGTCCCTTAAAAATAAAGCCATTGTTTTATCTTGTTATAAACTATTTGCTGTTATCAAAATTCTAACCTTAAATTCGGTGTTGTTAATTATATGTCGATAGCTTTCCCTTTGA